GCTAGATAGTGATTATAACTAACACTCACATGGTGTTTACTCTGTGTCAGGATCAGTTCTAAGTGGTTAGCATTCTATTCTCATGACAAACCTGTGACAGAGGCACCAATAACATCCCTACTTTATAGATGAGGAAACAGGGCACAGGAAGGTAAAGGAACCTGGCTAAGCAAGTGGCAGAGCTAGAATGGAAGCCCAGGTAGTGGGCTACAAAGTCCATGCTCTTAACCACTATACTTTCCCACCTCTAGCTAGAGTTATGGGACACTTACCACATGCCAGGCACTGCTCTAAGGATTTTGCATATTGTAACTCATTTAATACCCTCAACAAAAACATGATGTAGGTACTAAAGTCCTAATTTTGCAAAGGCGTAGACTTAGGCCCAGAGAGATGAAGTATAACTAGACTAAGCTCATATAGCTGATGAGTGGGGGGGCCTAGATTCAAACTCAGTATTTAGCCAGCTTGAAGGGAGCATCTAGGCTGTTGCAAGTCCCTAAAATCTTTCTCCCACTTTCATGTAACTGCTTCATTATTCTTCATACAGAAAGGGAGGATGAAAGCATAAAATGCCAGACAGTTTTGGGTGTTTTTTTTTTGTTTGTTTTGTTTTTAGCTGATTATCTGCAGAGCCAACTCTTGAATATTCAGAAGCTGTTAATTCAATTAATGGAGAATGCAGGCTTGTGTGCATTTTCTTCTTCTCTCCTGCTTCTCATTTTGGAGCATTCGTGCCAGATAGATAATGAAGACATTAAGTGCCACAGGAGGTTTCCAAGCTCTCCTTTAGGGATCCTACATCATGGTTTCAACTATCACTTTTATGTAAATGCCTCCACAGACTCCATCTCTGTGCCTCACCACTCTCATTGCCTGAGAAACACATCTGCTTTTCTGTTCCATTATCCTCTCCAACTCGACGTTAGTATTCACTTAGCAAATACTTATACAACTTTACTATGTGTGAAAAACATATGGAAACTGCTTAGGTCCTTAGAACAATGCCTGGCACGTAGGAATACTAGTGAAAGTTAGCCTTCGCCTTCAGGTTGTACAGAGTCCATGAGGGAGATAGGTGAACAGTTGTTTACAACACAAGGTGGTACATGCTATGGCTGGCTAAGCATGACATGTTTCGGTAGCATGCAATGACATTTCATCCAGTCTTAGAGAGGGGTTATGGATAGTGTCAGGGTGGGTTTCTCAGACCCTATTGTGTCTACTAATGATACTGCCATTTTTTGTCACCCAGGCTTGTGTCTACTAATGATACTGCCATTTTGTGTTACTCAGGCTTGAAAACTCAGTCACTGTTCACTCTTTCATTGTTCACAAGTCCAGTGCCTAAATTAATCATAATGTCGAGTCGATTCTTCCTTCTCAATAGTGCCTCCATTCTTTTTTCTTTCCTCACTCTAGGTCAATTTTTTATCTTCTCAAGCCAGGACTACTATAAAAGCATGTCATGCCATCTTAATAAATTCTCTCCTTTCCAATTCTTCCTGCACTATGTTCCAGACTCATCTGCCTAACATACTTTCCTTCTCAAAAATCTCAAAAGTTCATTCAATGCCCAAAGGTTAAAGACTGGTCTCCTTGTTCTGGCAACATTCTGACTTGCTGTCCGAATCTCTCAGAACTCCCTTGAAATTTCTGCCTTCAATCTAATCATGCCACTGTCCTTCTAGTTCCCTCATCCTCTGTTTTTTATGCATTAGTGCCTGGGTTGACTTTTTATTTGCCTTCAGTTCTTTTTTCTTTTTAAAGCATATTTTATATTGTATCTCTCCTTAAAGGGCCATTACAATTGTAACTATTTGGTGAAGCCTACCTTTAAAAAGTGTAGAATTTCTTGTTTGAACTAGTCATTTGGGCAATTGGTATGTATTGCCTTTTCTTTAATCAACTTTATATAGGTGTAGTCTACATACAACTACAACATATATATCAATGTGTGATCCTCATCACATCAGGATATAAACATTCCACCATGTACAAACATTTTCTTGTGCACTTTTGCAGGGAATGTTCCCCTGCCCCAGTTCTAGGCAACCACTGATTTTCTGTCACTATAGGTAAGATTTCTCTTCTCTAGAATTTTATACAAATGGAAATGTAGAATATCTACTTTTATTTGAGTCTGAATTTTTTTACTTATCATAATGTTTTCAAAATTCATCTATATAGTTATGTATATGTTTGTTCTATTTTATTTCAAGGGAATTTTGTTGTATGCATATAAACAATTTGCTTATCAACTCACCTGTTGGTGGACAGCTGTTTTCAGGTTTTGGCTCCTATAAGCATTTGTGTAAAAGTGTTTGTGTGGACATATATTTTCTCTTGGGCAAATACCTAGGAGTGGGATTGCTAGATTGAATGATATGGATATGTTACCTTTACCAAAGTTTGCCCAACTGTTTTCCAAAGTGATTATAAGATTTTATATTCCCACCAGCAATGTATAAAGGTTCTAAGTGATCTTTCTCTCTCCAATACTTAGTTATTTTAAATCCTTTGCCTTTTCCATATTGTAAATGATATTACTTCACTTTCCAATTGTTCATATATAGAAATTAATTGATGTTTTTACATTGACCTTGCTAAACCCACTTATTGGTCCTAGTAGGCTTTTTTTATATTTCTTAGGCATGTCTATGTACATGATCATATCACCTATAAAAAGAGACTTTATTTCTTCCTTTTAAACATTGATGCATTTTATTTTCCTTCCTTCCTTCTTTCCTCCTCCTACCCCGACCCCATAATTGCACTGACTGGGATCTTTTCAAGAGTCAACATCCTTACCTTGTTCCCAGTCTTAGGGATAAAGTTTCAGGGGAACATTAACTGTGATATTATTGGTGTATACTTCATGGCTGCTATTAGGTTGAGTAAGTAAATTCCTTTCTATTCTTAGTTTGCTGGTAGGTTTTATCATGCATGGATGTTGACTTCTGTGAAATGTTTTTTCAAAATCTAATGAAATGGAATGATTTTTCTACTTATTCTCAATGTGGTGCATTACGTTGATAGGTTTTTGAATGTGAAATCAATCTTGTAATGCCGAGCTAAACTGTACTTGGATTTCCAGGATGTTTGCTGTTTGTTAAGGGTTCACATCTATGTTCACAGGGATATTGGCTTGCAATCTTTTTTCTTAAAATGTCTTTGCCTAGTTTCGGTAATAAGGTAATGCTGAACTCATGAAAGTGTTCCCTAGTCCTTTTTTCTTGGAAGAGCTTGTGTAAGATTGGTGTTCTTTCTTATATGTTTAATCGAATATATAAGTGAAGTCATTTGGGCCTAGAGTTTTCTTTGTGGAAAGGATTACAATTGCAAATTCAATTCCTTTAGTAGATATAGGAGTACTCAGATTTTCTGTTTCTTCTTGTGCCAATTTTGATAGCGTATCTGTTTTGAGTTTTAGAATTTCCATTTGGTTCTTTTCTTTGGTTTCAGTTTCTTTGCTGAGATTCCTCCCATCTCTTCATTCATTATTACTCTGTTTTCCTCTTGGAACATATTTATAACAGCAGCTTTAAAGTTCTTATCTGCTAACTCCAACTTCTGGTCCTCTTGGGGTCGGTTTCTATTGATTCTTTTTTGGTCACAGTTACAGGTCACACTTTCCAATTTCTGCACATGACTAATAATTTAAAATTATATACTAGACATTTTGGATGACAAGTTCTGTTATCTTCCAAAGCAATTGCATTTTGTTCCAACAGCTGGACTCAAACTCCAAACTTCATTTCCACTGAGATGGGCAGCGGCTAAGCTAATGCTTCCAACTGCTGCTTTATGCTGTTCCTTGTGGTCACAACACAGGCATCACTCAGTGGCGAGTCCGAGATTGGGTGGAGTGTGTATATAAGCAGATTTGGGGCCCTCTCCCCTCTGGCTTACTCTTTTCCGTGACTTGCCCCATCACTTCTCACTCTGGAAGCCCTGAATTCTTACCACTGATTCCTCAGACCAGTAAGACTGAAGCTTTCCACAGTTCTAGTAGATGAATATTTTCAACTGAATAAACTTTACATTCACATACTCGACATGACTTTCTTCTCTCACCTAAAGTAAAATCATTATATATATCCAATTAAGTTTAAGAAATAAATATTGGCAAATAATTAAACCATCAGCATACATTTAAAATAGAATTTAAGCCTAAAATAAAGTAAAAATTCCTGGTTGTAGCCTCTAATACCGTAGGAGCATGGTCTGGTCCTACATACCACTCCAATATTATAATTCCCCGCCTATTTCATTATCTCTAGCCACCCTAGTCTTTTTGATGTTCCTCAAACATACCAGAGCAAATGCTGTACCTATTATCTGGAATGCTCTTTCCTCCGATCATTGCATGGTTGTTCCTTCTGAGCATCCAGGTCTCTGATCATATATACTTTCCTCAGAGAGGCCTATTCTGATTATCCTACCTAAAAGAGCTCCTCAAACCAGGTGTGGTGGCTCATGTCTGTAATCCCAGCACTTTGGGAGACTGAGACAGGAGGATCACTTGAGGCCAGACCAGCCTGGGCAATACAGCAAGACTCTCATCTCTAAAATAAAAATAGACTGGATGCAGTGGCTCACGTTTGTAATCCTAGCACTCTGGGAGACAGAGGTGGTAGGATCGCTTGAGGTCAGGAATTCAAGACCAGCCTGAGCAAGAGCAAGACCCTGTCTCTACTAAAAATACAAAAAATTAGCCAGGCAACTAAAAACAGAAAAAAAAAAAAAATTAGCTGGACATGGTGGCATATGCCTGTAGTCCCAGCTATAAGTGAAGTCATTTGGGCCTAGAGTTTTCTTTGTGGAAAGAGTTTTCTTTGTGTCTCCTGAGGCTGAGGCAGAAAGGTAGTTTGAGCCCAGGAGTTTGAGGTTGCTGTAAGCTAGGCTGACACCATGGCATTCCAGCTCAGACAACAGAGTGTGACTCTGTTTCAAAAAAATAAATAAAATAAAATAAAAATAAATAAGTAAAAGAACTCTTCAGCAAACCTCACCCTCCACCCCCAATTATGCTTGAACATCTGTCCTACTTTATTTTCTTCAAAGCAATAATCATTATCTGAAATTATTCATTCATTTCCTTGTTTATTACCTGGCTCCCCCACTAAAAGGTAAGTGCCAAGAGGGCAGACTGTTTGTCTGTCTTGTTAACCAGGGTATCCTTAGTGTCTAGAACAGTTGTCTGGCACAGAGTATATGCTTAATAAGTACTTATTGAACAAATAAATGAAGAATGATATGGGGACTGTTGAGGTAAATCTAACTTTTTCCCTATCAACTGGCAACAAAGTAAATGAAGATAATTAAAAATATTTACGCAAATATTAAATGGTTTTATAGAAACTATAAATTCCTTACATGTCATTTAAAATAAAATCAGTGTTTCATTTTACTGTATATGGCAGTGAAACATTACATAATACATTGTAAAATTATGTGAATCAACAAACCAAGTTATAAATTTTCAATTGGTGGGAAAAAAAAACTAAGTGAATAGCAAAAAAAGTACTCATATGGACATCAAAGTTGTTTAACATGTAGAAATGAAGTAGACTCATAGGAGTGAAATTTGGGGATGAATGGACATGTAAGATTCATAATAGTTTGAATGAAGGAGATGGGCTGTTTCTAAGCTCAAAGCACAATAGGTACTTATTGACAATATTTAGCTTTGGAAGATCTATATGCTTAACTTTAAAACATAATGCTCTCTTAAAACATAAAACAGTCATCTCAAATTCAAATCAAAGCAGCAATAACAATAATAATAATAATGCTATGTGTTACACAATTATTGTTCAGGCTCAAAACTCCTATACTTTATTTTATTATTCTTTTCATTAAAATTAAAATTATACTATTAAAATGAACTCAGACATAAAATTATCTTTGGAAGAAAATCACTTTGGTGTATTATTTAAACCTTCTATGATAAAATGCATGCAGGTTCTTCCAATCATGCAGAACTAACAAGACATGTGAGGTATAAAATGGATATTTACTCATATTATTCTCAATAGAAGATCAGAGTTATAGTAAGTTTCTCAGAAACTATTTTAACAATTTACTTCATGGTACAAGATTGCCATAGAAATTTTCCTTGTGAATGGCAGATGGGGCAGCTAATTTTGCATACTTATTTACCAAATGTAGAATTCAATAGAGGGGTGTTGATAAAAGAAAAACTGACTCCTACAAAGGGAATATGTTAGAAATGTAATACTTTTTTTTGCATGATGTTAATATTTCCACTCTAAATTAATCAAGCTAATTAATTTGTTGCAGTAGGAACTGAGGCAAATAGATTTCAATAACAAGGTAATCTAACTATGTGAAACTCTACCTCTAAATTGATTCCCTTTGAAAATTTTCTGTAAGAGCTTTACCTTCACCAAAATGTTCACAGGGACTCATCTATAAATCTCATAGTATTACAAATGGACACATAAATAAATGACATATCTCTACTCCCAAATCATTTAACCCTTTGCACTCGGATGTCGAGTGTGACTTGACACGGTTAGGTAGAATAAAGGAATCAAGAAAAAAGCAGGCGAGTGCAAAGGGTGAATGCCATCAGGCTTGGCTGTGCTCACTGTCATTCTCTTTACCTTCAAATTACTTAGAAGAACAGTGACATTCTAACTGGGGAATGTCAAATGAGTCTCATAGAGGCATTGCTTCACAACTAAGCTTAAATATTCAGTGCTTAATTTTGATCAGGAAATGTTGCTACTATGGTTTTGTTTTATAACCTGATTTTCATCAAAGAGATAAAAAGGAAAAAAAAAAGGTGAAAGTAGCGAATAGGGAGGTTTGTGGACAGAGATTACTTTCATTATCTTAGCAACTAGGCAAATTTTTGCCTTAGAGCCAAACAAATTTTGCCGATACTCAACTGTCAAATTATCCTGAAGTGAAATGTTTATAATAGCAAAGAGATAATTATGTGAGTAAAGATTTCAAAATCTACAGCACATCAAAGCATTTGATGTTGTGTTTTTAACATGTCTCTTCTTTCACCTGTACAGCTTTGTAAGACAAATCACTCTGTTCACTGTTGATATCCCAGTCTGTATCTGTTTCTGAGTCACTAGAGTCAATGTCAAAGAGAGAGGAAGTTCTAGACCACAACTCATCTGTCTGAGTAGTTGCACTACACAGTCGTTTTCCTAACACTTTCACTTTGGCCTGAATACCTGAAAGAGAATAAGCACAAGTATCTATGAGTTAGGCTTTGCTTTTCATGTATCTTTAATATGCAAAAGATCAATTCAATCGATCAATCAACTGAAGAGTCAAAACATACCCACACTACGGTGAGGGGGCCTTTTCAGAGAAATTTGTGTACTTTTATGCACTGGGCCTTCTTCACAGTGAGTAGGTACTGACGTGACATCATTAAGTAGGTTACCAGGATGGACTTGTGTTTGTATAACTTCATTTTCACATGCAATCTAAAAATATAAATCAGAGGAGAATTATGTCAAAGGTAAATCTACTTTATAGAGTTTCATCTTTCAAAAGTTACAAGTAGTAAAAGAGTACAGAGCTGGTACTTTTCAAGGTCGTATAGTAGTAAGGCTGAAATTCCAACCTAGGCAAGCTGGATCCATAGTCGAAGCTTTTATGAACTCTGCCACATTTTTCTTTACAACTTATAAATCACAAATTTTGGTCAAGCAGAAAGATATAGGCTATCTGCTTACAACTGTTTTTTTCTCCTTAAATCAATAGCTAGAAGAGATAATGCTCCTAGTATTAAATTAACAGATATCTTCGCAGCAATATTATTCTAGAAAACCTAATCATCAGTCCTTTATACCTTATGGAGAGCTACTTTAGTAAGAAAATATGAATGGCTTTAATACTTTCCTGAGAAAAATTACACTGTGAAATGGAAATTTTGATTTGTGGGGTAAGTAATAAGGGTAAGAAGTAGCAAGGAGGAGGGTTGAAGGTGACATAAGACTGGGTACCTAGAGATTATGTGGAAGAGGTTAAAAGATACCTAGGAAAGGTAAGAGGGCCTAAGGGAAGAGAAAATAAGAAGTGATAGAGAAATGAAAACAAAATAAAGTGTTCAGCAATTTTACCTATAGCTGTGGTAGTAGCAACTGCCTTCAGACCACTGAAAAAATATTTAGTAGGTATCATTGATTGCTGTATTACGGGCTAGTAAAGAAACTTTGTGAAGGAATGCTTGTGAAGAGTCCCTTTGCAACATGAGTAATTTTACCTAACATTATTGAGATTTTAAATAAAAATTTAAAGGGCTTATCTTTGTGTTTACAAAATCATGACCAATTTTTACTGGCTACATCTACTTCTAAGCCAAGCATTATAAAAGTCCAGAATAAGTACATATTTCTTTACAAAAAAGATATATCCCTGATAAAATGGAGTTTTAGGACTTTAATCAGGGTTTAAAAAATAACTTTTGTTCCCTTTATAACAACAATATATTTTTCATTATGAAAAATTTGCACTACACAGAAATGCAAAAAAGAAACTAAAATTAATCATAATCTCATAATCCATAGCTAAAACTTTACATTTTAATATGCTTTTGTCTTTTTCTATGTAGTTGTTAAAAATTGGGATCATATACCTGCTATTACACATCCACTAAAAAAAAAAAAAAAAAAAAATTGGGATCATACAATTTGTTTTATATTCTAGTTTCCTCCCTTAACATAACATGTTTCTATGTTATTAAATATTCTGCATATTAATTTTTATGGCTGTGTAGGAATCTATTATATAGACTACAATTTATTTTTAAAAGTCCATATTACTAGAAATATTTGAACATAAATCTTTTGTGTACATATCTGATTGCTCTTCAGATTAAAAGCTTAGAAGCAGAATTTCCAGATATGTAGTAATCTGCTGGAACATGAATCAAAAAAAAAAATCTAGAACAAGACAGAAAAAGACAAAAGGAAAATGGAAAATATAGAAAAGTTCATAAGAGACAGAGTGGATAAGATGAAAAGGTAAAATGGGGCAGAAGCAAAATTTGAACAAATAAGAGCTGAGAATTTATCAAAATGGTATTAAGGCATGGTTTTACAAAAGTACTATGAACCCTTTTTACTGATTAAAATAAAAACAAAGGAAATCAAACCTATGCACGTTACAGTAAAACTGGAAAACGAAGGGAAAAACATAATAGTAGCTAGAAGGAAAAAGATACATTCCCTTTAATGGGGTAAACATAAGAGTTTTGTAATGAATGGCTAAACTCTTGAGAACAAAGAAAGATTGAAAGTAAAAGGATAGAAAAAGACATACTATGCAAACACTAACTTAAAGAAAGCTGGTGTTGCTATATTAGTACTATATATCTAATAACATAGCTTGAAAATATATACCACAAAAATTGTTAGATTATATACGTGAATTCAAAATCACAGTGTAAGATTGTAATATAACTTTCTCCATAATTAATCAAATAAATAGACAAAAATTCCATAAGGATATAGGAAATTTAAACCTGAGTATTAGACATATATGGAACACTGTACCCAACTGTACAACATGCACTTAAGTACATATGGAACATTTAAAAAACTGACTATGTTGGATCTAAGTCTCAACAAATTTCAAAAGATTAAGTCCATATATTGTATTTTCTCTAGAAACAATATAATTGACCTAGAAATCTATCATTAAAATATAACTACAAAATGCCCATATGTCTGGAAATTTAAAAATATACTTATAAATAACCTATGAATAAAATATAAAATTACAATGGAAATTAGAAAATATTTTACACTAAATAATAATAAAAATGGTCCATACCTAAAACTTGTGGGATTCAGTAAAGCCATGCTTGGATGGGAATTTATAGTCTTCAATGCACATATTAATATAAAAAAATTAACTAGGCATGATTAATTTAGATTGGGATTATTAATATCACAAAAAAATATTCTACAAAATATCTCTAACATATCCCCATTTCAGGAGCCAGTTTCTCCTTGATCAACACCACTCTACTAAATTCTACATTTGGGAAATAAGCATGTGAAACTTAGCTTCCTCATCTATTATTTAGCATGAAAATTCTTTAAATCAATGATTAACTTCTCAAAAAGTTAAAGAAAGAACAGGAAATAAAATTTTAAAAAGTAGAGAGAAGGGAATAATAATAGAAATAAAAGAAAAAAATACCAGAGAGAAGGTCAACAAAGCAAAGTTTGTTCTGTGAAAAGACTATTAAAAATTGATAAGCCATCTGGTGAAGCTGTTCAAGAAAAGAAAAGAATGAAAAAGTAAAAATTACTACAGATCATACAGAATTTTAAAAACTAAAAGATTATCATAAACAGTTTTGTATCAATATTTAAAAATTTAGATGAACCATAAAATTTTTAAAAATACAATATCTCAAAGAGCTAAAAATAGAAATACCCTTTGATCCAGAAATCCCACTACTAGGCATCTACCCAAAGGAAAAAAGACATTCTGTAATAAAGACATTTGCACTTGAATGTTTATGGCAGCACAATTCCCAACTGCAAAGATGTGGAAACAAAACATGTGTCCATCAATCCATGAGTAGATTAACAAAATGTGGTATATGTATACCACAGAATACCACTCAACTACAAAAAACAATGGTGATCTAGCACCTTTTGTATTATCCTGGATAGAGCTTGAGCCCATTCTTTGAAGTGAGGTATCACAAGTGTGGAAAAACAAGCACCACATGTACTCGCAATCAAATTGGTACTGATCAACACTAAGGTGCTCACATTGTTGTAATACTCTCTGGGTGCTGGTCAGGTGGGAGGGGGTTTGAGGGTGGGCAAACTCACAACTATGTATGCGGAGCACACTGTATGGGGGAAAGGTCACGCTTGTAGCCCTGGCTTGGGCAAGACAAAGCATTATATGTAACCAAACATTTGTACCCCCATAATATTCTGAAATTTTAAAAGATACAATTTATCAAAATGGCTAAACATAGAAACAAAAAAACTGAAATTGAATCTATTATTAAAAATCTTAGCCGGGCGAGGTGGCTCATGCTTGTAATCCCAGCACTCTGGGAGGCCGAGGCGGGAGGATTGCTCGAGGTCAGGAGTTCGAAACCACTCTGAGCAAGAGCGAGACCCCGTTTCTACTATAAATAGAAAGAAATTAATTGGCCAACTAATATATAGAAAAAATAGGCCAGGCATGGTGGCGCATGCCTGTAGTCCCAGATACTTGGGAGGCTGAGGCAGGAGGATCGCTTGAGCCCAGGAGTTTGAGGTTGCTGTGAGCTAGGCTGACCCCACGGCACTCACTCTAGCCTGGGCAACAAAGTGAGACTCTGTCTCAAAAAAAAAAAAAAAAAAAAAAAATCTTTCTAGGCCGGACATGGCGGCTCAATGCCTGTAATCCTAGCACTCTGGGAGGCCAAGGCAGGAGGATCGCTCAAGGTTAGGAGTTCAAAACCAGCCTGAGCAGGAGTGAGACCTACTAAAAATAGAAAGGAATTAATTGGCCAACTAAAAATATATAGAAAAAACTAGCTGGGCATGGTGGCACATGCCTGTAGTCCTAGCCACATGGGAGGCTGAGGCAGAAGGATTGCTTGAGCCCAGGAGTTTGAGGTTGCTGTGAGCTAGGCTGACACCACAGCACTCTAGCCTGGCAACAGAGTGAGACTCCGTCTCAAAAAAAAGTCTTTCCACAACAAAAACTCCTGGACTAGGTGTCTTATCCATGAATTCTATCAATATTAATACCAAATTTATTAGTGAATATATAATGCCAATTTATATTAATATAAATATATCCAGAGAATGAAAAAAGAAGGAATGATTGATTCCAAATTGGTCAGCATAATCTTCACACGAAAATCTGAGAAAGGCATTTCAAGAAAGAAAACTATAGACAAATTTTATTCATGCACACAGATGTAAAAACCCTAAATAAAGTATTACCAAACCAAATTAAGCAATATAAAAAAAGATAAAACACTTTGACCAAATTTGGTTTATTTTAGCCATGTTAAATTTGATTCTATATTTCAAAACCAAACACTGTAACTCACTACATTGACAGAATAAAATATATGATCATTAATAGATTCAGAAACATCATTTGATAAAATTCAATATTTATGATTTAAACTAGGAGTAGAGAAGAACATTTCTTTTTATGACAGAGAGCAGCTATAAAAATAACTGTAGTAAAAATCATACAAATGGGGAAATATTAAAGGTTTTCCCTCTGAAATTAGGAATGAGAAAAGGATTCCCCATCACCTCTTCTGTTCCCCATAGTGCACTGGAGGTTCTAGCTAGTGAAATAGGAAGAGTAAGAAATAAAAGCATGAAAATCAAAAATTCTTTCCAGATATATTTTTGTACATGTAGAAAATTCAGATTCAAAAGAATTTATAAGTTATTGAAATTAATGAGTTTAACAAGGTTTCTTGATACAAGTTCAACAAAAATCAATTTATCAACATATATTTATACATTATAAAATTTAAAATACCACTTATAGTAGCAAAATCAAATACCTAGGAATAAGTCTAATGAAAGATATACAAGACCTCTACATAGAATGCCATAAAATGTTTTTAAGAGAAATTTAAAAACCCAAATGGAAGGGTATGTTCATGAATTAGAAGAATCAATATTGTCAATATGGCATTTCTTCCCACAATTCACTGATAAATTCAATGCAGTTCCAATCAAAGTCTCAGTAGGAAATGTGTGGAAATTGACGAACTAATTCTAAAATGTATATGGAAACTTAAAGAGCCCAAAATAGCCAAGATATTCATGAACATGAATAAGAAGAATTAATCAACTGAATATTAATTCTCAATATAAGCCTAAGTAATTAAGACACTGTGATAATGATGCAAAGATAGGCAAACAGATAAAAGGAACATAATAAAATTTGTGGAAACAGTCTTATGCATATATGAACAGTTGATTTATGACAAAATTGACACTACAGGGCAATGAGGAAATAAAAGATGCTGAGTCAATAGGGTATGTACATGGGGAAAAATGAAACTTAAATCCTACCTTACACCATACACAAAATTAATTCTGAATAGATAGTAGATCTAAATGTGTAAAAAATAAAGCAACAAAGTTTATAGAAAACAACATAGTAGAATCTTTTGAGCATCAAGCATAAAGAAAAAGATTGGTAAATTGGACTACATCAGAATTAAGAACTTCAGCAGACAAAAAGACAAAGAGGCAACCCACAGTGGGAGAAGATAAAAACATTTAACTAACAAAGGACTACAAGGTAGAATCTACCAAGAATTCTAAATAAACAAGAAAAAGATAACCCAAAAGAAAAAACAAAAATAAGAAAACAGGCTAGCTTTAAACTGGCATGTCTCCAAAGAGGCTATCCAAAAGTCCAATTAACATTTGAAAAGGTGTTTCCTTACTAATTTCATTAGTAATCAGGAAATGCAAAGTAATAACACCACTATACACCCTGCAAATGGACTCAGATGTGAAAGACTAGCAATCCCAAGTGTGGGCAAGAATGTGGAACACTTTAAATCCTCATACTGCTGGTAGAAGTGTAAATTGGTACAACTACTTTAGAAAACTATTTGGTATCATCCACTAAAGTTTAATATAATACTATATTCCAACAATTCTACATATGTACCCTCAGAAATGTGTGCCTGTGTGAACCAAAAGAACGTGCAATAAAGTTTATGGCAGTATTACTTACAATATCCCCAGACCCATAACAACCCAAATGTTCAATAGTAGTAGATGGATAAGCAAATTTTGGTATGTTCATAAGAATGTAATACTGTATAGTGATGAAAACAAACTACTGTTATATGCAACAATATGGATGAATCTCACACATATTTTGAACAAAAGCCAGACACAAAAAATGCCTACAGTATTATTATATGAAATACCAAAAAAAGCAAAGTTGGTTACTTTTGAGGAGAGGGGAGGGGCTGGGGGTGGAGTGATATTTGGACTCCTGGGGGGTTAGTAATATTCTATTTCTTTGACCTGGATTGTGGTCAAACATGTTCAGTTTGTGAAAATTTAATGACTTTTCCATTTAAGATTTTCACTTTTCTGTATAGTTGCTATTCTTCAACTAAACAGTTTAAAAATTCAGTTGGATTTTTTTAAAGGATGTAGAATTAACAGTTAAGGAAAACAATAACCATAGCTTTATGAGGCAAAATATCAAACAGGTTATAAGTGGTCCTCAGAGGCCCTTTCTTTCTGTGGAGGTGGACTCCTCTAAAGATAGGAAACATTCACACTTACATTTATCTATATATAGCAGCAAGTACCCAGAATAGCGTCTGCAATAGCTTCTCAATAAATGTTGTAGAATGACTAGAAATTTGATTTTTAGTCATTTGGTCCTGGGATTGGGAAGAAAAATATTGAGTGGGAGAGGGAGTCAGAGGTGGCACAAGCAAACTTTCTTAGTGATATTATTAATATTAGGCTGCACATTTATTGCCATCAATTCAAAATAAACATTTTTACCTTATATACTTTTAAAGTGACTATCATTAGAACTCACACATAGTTTCCTACTAACTCAGCAAGTATATTAATGTAATATGGATTGTTAGGAATGTTGGCTGGATATATTTACTAGAAAATAGATTTGGCATCTATTTTAGATGTTTCTTAATGATTAGTCTTTGCTGTACTATAAAATCTTTGGTTGTTTCACTAGCCTGATTTTTCTTTTCCCAATTTTTGATTAGGTGGTATAATTATGGGGAAGAAAAATAGCGTGTGTGGCACATGTTTAGTATTTATCTTTCTTACTACATATTCATATGTATATATGGATCTAACACACATGCTTGGGCAAAGTTTGCATAGGCAGTGATGGTAGACAAATAGTTCAAGGAAAGAGTGTAAATGTCTTGACAGGTATACAACTTGGTGAGAAGGAAAACCAGCAGAGAAAATTCTATTATAATGCAAAAATTGTTCTTTTAGTCACATCATTCCACAAAATATTTATTGAATTCCTTAAATTTGAAAAATATTGTTCTAGGCACTGGCAATACAAAGGTGAAGAAGTAATATACGATCCCTGCTCCTATGGAGCTTACATTCTAATATGAGAGACAAGCATTAAGCAGACTACACAATTATTTCATGACAATTGTGAAGAGTGCTGTTGAAGAATCTATGCTATTGAAGCAAATGGAGTATATGAAGAATGAAAGTATATGATTAGGGAATCAAGGGAAAAGATGTTTGAGCTGATTTTTAAAGGAAAAATACTTAATTGATGATGATATGGAATGGGACGGGCAAAATTCCAAGGTATCACACCAAACAATTGAACAAAGTCTTGTTGGTAGTTAGGAATACAGCGTGTCCAAGAAATGAAAAAATCAGCATGACTGGTGCACAGGGAGAAACAGGGACAGTTGCCTTGGATAGGGCTGGTGTGGCACTCAAAGGACATGTGGTGACATGTTAATTATATTAATAATTTTTTCTTTATTCTTGTAATTCCAGGATGCTACTAAAGGGTCTTATGCACTCACCTCAATGGAGGAAGCAGGTTAGTATTATTGGATCTAGAGTAAGGATTACAGGCCCTTGAGAAAATTATTAATATTAATCTTCTGGATGATCTTCCCCATGCATAAATTGTGGCTTTGGACTAAATGAACACTAAGGTTTCCTTCAGCTCTAAAATTCTATGAATACCTCTGTATATTCAAAGCCAAAATGTCAATTACAGGTCACTTGACCTGTTGGTGAACTCTTCCCACCTCTAGAAAAAAACATCTTTTAGATCCAATTATGAGCCATAATTTAATATATGTAATGGTGATAGGACTGAAGTTTGATTACCTCATAGAAGGGTTGGAAGTCTTTAAAATGGGAAGTGGGGAAGAAGGTAGTAGTAACCAGATGCAAAATAAGTATGATCAATGTTTATAAAGATTATAAAGTAGGCAGAGAGGGCAAGAAGGAAAAATTTAGGTCACCAGGAACATTTAACTTAATGCAGCTAGTATCAAAAGGAAACTTAGGGTTGGGAATTGTTTATTAGAAAGCCCCATCTTTACCTGTAGCTCCGCATTTCCTTCTTCACATTTTTGACATTTAAATTGACTTCAATTTAAGATTATGTAATGCTCTGCAAACACAGTTTCAAGTACCCCAGCTCTTGAGATTTGCTCAAATTAAACCCTTTCATATTAAAACTCTGGAGAAGCAAGTGAAGGCAACTCAATACTCTTAAGGACAAGACTTTGTGTGAGTTTTGGGGGAGGAGCACGTAAAAGGAATTGAGTCACTTAATTTCAAAGTGTTAATGCTAAATGGGACCTTGGAGATCACCTTTAAAGCAAATTAAAGGTGAGAAAACAGAAACCTTAGAGGTGAAGTGCCTTCCCTAAGGTGACACTAAGTGGAGGGGCAAAGCCACAGCCCAGAGGTCCTTCCATGACCTTCGGTGGAGTCTTAGGTTTCTCTTTACCTGTGAAACCGCAGTCCTCTTTCCGGCCCGGAGGCGCGTACAGGAGATTGGACCCTGAGCAGCCTCAGAATGCCTGGCAGCCTGAAGCTTTCCTCCCTTTTCCGGGCCGCCCGCTAGGTCTCCCTCTTCTTCCCCCTTAGGTGCTGGGACCGGCATCCGGTGCAGGGTGGGCACGGCGCCCGCCACGAGCCTCAGGCGCTGGGAAAAGCGCAGTTTCTTCTGGATAACCGAAGAGACGTCAAAACAGGCCGGGGCGAAGTGGTCAGAACAGATGACGGAGCGGTCATTGCCCCCGTACCAGTCGGCGCGGAAGCCCTGCACAAAGCGGTCCCACAGCAGCCGCACCGCCCGATCTTTGGGGAAGCGGAACAGCGACTTCCCAGACTTGGTGGTGTTGCCGCAGTGGGCGGCCACGCAGCGGGCGGGCATGGCGGCTGCCTCAGATGCTGCGGAGCCGGGGTCCCGGGCCCTCTGCGCTCGTGCACGCTCCTCACGGCAGCCTCGGCGAGGCAGGTCCTCTCTTCACCTGTCGACTCCGGTTCGGGCCTGTTTCCTTCCCTACCTCTGGTCACCGGAAGTGCCGAACTGGGGCCCCAGACGAGAGAGTTCTTTGGTATCGTCCTCCTTTTCCTCCTCCCGGCAATGCTACCCCGAGAGCTGGCGGGCACAGGCACTGGGATACAAATTTCGCGCGGGCCGCGAGGAAGTGGGCCGTAGAGAAGGACGGACCGGAAGTGGTGGTTATCATAGCCACAGATGTGGCCAACCTCTTCCCAGTCTAATCCTCCTCCCAATACTCCCGCTCTGTTTTTACGAGGCCGAGAAAATAGAACGAGGACGCGCTGATGCACTAGACTCTCAAAAATACAACCACGGGCTATAACGACTGTGTTGTCCTGTGGATTTGGGAGAGGACGAGACCGGAAATGGTAGTTTCCATGGTAACTCCAGAGCGGGTTGCCTGGGAGATGACCTCTTTCGGTCTCTTCGAATCTCTGCTGTAGCGTCACCTGGAAGGCAGATCTAACGGATCCTGGACTGTCTCCTGCCATGATTCCCGGGAAATACCGCTCTGTTTCTGGCCGGGCTACGAACAACGTAGGTTGGGCTTCCTACTTTCTCTTTCTTCCCATTGATATCATCCTTTCTGACTGGCGCCTTTGTCCTAGGTGATGGGCTGTATTATTGGGACCAGGACCGCTGGGTCTACTCAAGCTATTGTCGCTGACCGAGGGTTGAGGTTCGTGGGCTGGAACAAGCCATTTGGAGAGTATTTAATATTGTATGATGGGTATTCAAAGTCTTGTCCAGGAGCTGGGCTCCCCAGAAGGTGGAGCTGGTTTGCCGTGAAAGGCTCGGGTTCATTTAAATTCCTTTACCTCGTCAATTCCTTTTTCTTTTCTTTTTTTAATTGAGAAAAGAATTTATTATTAGACACTCCTACCTCCTTCACCTGTCCCATTGAGATATTTATTTAGACCTGAAATGGCAAATGTTGAAAGCCTGAAGTACTAGAGGGTTAAATTGCTGCCGACATTTTGGAAATTAAATCAGTGAAACCTTTTAATTCTTAGATGTGATTTTATTGTTTTTAGCAAATCCTCAGAACATGTTCCTTTACTTACTGGAAACAAACAAAATCGAGCATTCTGTTCTATTCTAATTTTTTGTTATATCTTTATCTGTACCATCTTGGGGGGAATATGTATATGTATATTTAAGTTAAGAGCAAATTTTATGGTTTAATTTTTACATTTCAGGTGAACTGTGGGCTTCATCTGGTTATTCAAACATCATCGCTTCCTGAAAAAAACAAAGTAAGGTTTAAGCAGATTGGTATTTAAATTGAAGATAAATTGTTTAATATTCTTCACAAACAGCAGCATGCTTAAAGAGTAGATTCTGAACTTGAAATTTTAAGTATATATGTTTTGGTTTCCAATATAAAGCTAATTTTTCTTTTCTGTATACATAAAGCCAAAGACAGCCCTCTTTTTAACACTTATTGTTATTTCATTGATTTTAAGAGGTAAGTTTTTGACATTTAAATCTTTCTGAAATCAGAATCTTTCTTAAACTGATGGCATGTCATAGTTTAATTGGAAAAGTTTTTTCTTTCTTAACAGTGGGCAAAATAATGGTATGTCTTACTACTGATGACATCTTAGAATGGATAAAATGTGGTAATTTGGGAGAGCATGTCTATACATCCTGTTTAAAATTAGGGAAGAAAAAAATAGGTTAACAGTGGAAATATTTTAGGCTTAATGTTATTTAGAAGTTAAGATATAAAGATGAAATATTTTGTTCCCATACTATTTGCTCATAATATCTCTGTCATTTCCAGAATTTCTGGCTTTTTATTTAATTTTTGAGATTTTGAAGTAAACATGTTTTTCTTTTTTTTCCTGTCTCACCTGAGCAGTCACACTCACCTACCTCCCACACAACTATGTCTCAAGACACTACATGCTTTTGCCTCCTTTGACCTTGTTGGGTACCTCCAATGATCACAATTTACTTGTTTCCTAAAAAGCTGTTAAATAGTTGCCACTGGAGGAACTCCGAAGTGAAGAGAAGAGTTTATAGATAACAGCATGAGAGAAGTAAGAGGGCATGAGGAGGATACCATTAGTTAAGCAGGTAGCAATTTATTACATTATATATGTATATGAAAATGGTGAACACTTGGAAAATAGACCATTTTGAGATCATCTCAAATACATAGCAGTTAGCTAGATTAATTGAAAATATTCTTTATTGTAATTGGATATAATGGATTCCCTCCAAATCTTTCCTAATTGATTTCAGTGAGCAAATCTTTTTCTACCATTATTATGTTTCTAGGAACTATGTGACTTATCTGAATTCTTTCCAAACCATTCATATTCTCTCGTGCGGACATATATTCTGAGAAAATACCTTTAAGTTATATATTTCCTAAAGATGTAAAGTTTATAGCATAGATGAATGAGAAGCATTATAATTCTTTTAAGATACGTATTTACGATTTTTTGTGGCTAATCATAAGTTTTTTTAGTTTTGTTTTTTTCAGTCCTCCTACCAGCTAATTATTTTAAAATCAATTTAGTGAATACCCTCTATGGACAATTTAAATATACAATTTTACTATCATTGTACATTTAAAGGGATTATACTGATCAAAACTGATTTTTTTCAACAACATTTGGCTTTTGTTGTGTGCTTTTTGTTTTTTATAGAACAAATGTCTTTCAGTCATTGTATTTGTAGTGAGAGTGTGGAGGGATTGGAAGTTCCTCAGATTGGAGTATGGTTTCATCTGACCTCATGAAATTGGCTCTGATTTTGTGTGTGATAAAATACACATAACATAAAATTTACCATTTAAACCATTTTAAGGTATACAATTCAGTGGCATTAAGTACATTCACAATGTTGTGCAACTGTCACCTCTGTCTAGTTCCAGAACTTTTTCATCATTCCAAATAGAATCCCAGGACCCAATAAGCAATTATTCCTCATTTCCCTACATCCCCTAAACTTCTGGAATCTATAAATACACTTTCTGTCTCTCTGGATTTGCCTATTATAGATATTTCATATAAATGGAATCACATAATATGTGGCTTTTTGTGTCTGGCTTCTTTGACTTGGCATGATGTTTTCAAGGTTTATCCGTTTGTAGCATGCATCAGCTATTGTATATTGTTTTATAATTATCTTCATTACTTACTGTTAAATTTGTCTCCAAATATATTTTTTTCTAATGTTTTTCAGGTTGAATTCAAGCTAAATAAAGACACACCATCATTCCCTGGTAGACTCTTACAACATGACCTTGAAAGAAACTACTCAAGTAGGCAAGGTATTATCAATATGCAGAGATCAGATATGGTTCTGGTCTCTGAAGAATATTAATTATTTATAAGGTTGAATTAGTAGATCTAAATAAGCTTGAATTGAAAATGAAATGGTTCATTGGTTACCTAATTGGTTTGATATTTGTTTAAATCAGAATTGGTTCTATATACATAGTATAGTAGATTATTTCCAATGCAGAAAAAGCTATCGTTATTATATTTTAGTTTGAGGGTGAGCTATGCACTAGAGAATAGGAGAAGAATGTTTTAAATACTGTATTAGAACTAGGAAAAATAGCTAATTAGTGAGAGTAAGAGTATGGGAACACAAGTCTTTCTTTAGGAAATAAGGAAACAATAGAAAGAATGGAAAGTTAGGAGTAGAAAAGATACAATCTTTTTTTCTTACTAACACATATAATCAGAGATATATTAAAGGCCTTAAACTTTGATGTATATCACTTGGGATCTTGTTAAAAATGCAGATTCTTAGTGCTTCCTCTCCATCTTCCCAGTTCCCCCATTTTGATTTTATAGGTCTTTGGTGGGATTTAGATATGTGCATTTTTTTACTGATGCCACAGTGATTATGATGGATGTGGTTGGTGAATCCCCCATTAACAAGTACTACCTTATACGATCTGATTATATTTCTGAAACATATTTTTAAAATCAAGGAAAAATTTCCTTCAGCACATTTGAATCTTAGTTGGTTGCTAACAACTGTTAGCTATTTGTAATGTGCTAGTTTTAAAAACTTCAAAATCCTTACATAAAGAACTGCCTCTACCTCCTAGGAGTTTATATGAGAGGGCCATTTAATATAGGCCTTTCTAGATTGTTCATCTCATTACTGTGTGAGCATATGACAAGTTTGGATATTGGCTAATTTTCCCTTTTTGTTTTGTTACTTCTGGGCCTTCCTCTTGGGCCCATCTAATTTGACATGTCTTTTCTCTTTCCTATATACTACACTCTTGTCTTGGCCAATTGCTGGACATGACATCAGCCTGACTGCAGTTCCACAGTGCAGGAAGCATCTGTCTTGCTTCTTTGGTTCAGTTCAATATATATTTATAAAGTGTGTCCTATGTGCCAGTCACTGTTTTAGTTATAGATGTGAACCTGGAAATTTTTCACTAGGGATTTTTATGCTTGCATTGTGAATTTCCTTCACATTTTTTATAACAATATCTTAATTTTTCCCCCTAAATCATGAATCAAACTTAAATACTTTCCCTAAGTTTTTCTTGAGTTAGAGTAGGAGTTGTTATACAGATTTATGGTTCTTGATACTCAGTCATAATAATTAATTTTAGCCTGTTTCTTATTTTTCAAATTAAACATATCATAGCCTGTTAGTACAAATTAACCAATGATACTCTGAGTCAAAAGTAAAGAAATTTGATGTTTTATTTAAGCTGGTGAGTCTAAAATTTGATATGCGATTTCTTTTAGACTTTTAAAAATATTGTTAAGAGTTAAACCCTGCATCTTTAAGATTTTGTAAGAGTCAGACGTTACAGGGACTTCTTTACAGTAAAATCTCGATTAACCTGAACTTAATTGATTCAGTGCCTTAGTTAAGAATTTAAAAATATGTTTGTAGAAGGGAAGAGGCAATACTTGGCTCTTAAGATCATCATAAATCACTGGAAAATCTAGACTCAGGATTTTGGTAAACAAAAAAATATCAAAGATAAGGCAGGGTGAACACACATATGTGGCAATGTACTATACTGTCCATCCACCCGTCAGTCTATCTGCCCACCCATCTGTCCATTTATCCACTCATGCATCTATCTTCCCATTCATACATACATCCGCCCATCCATCCATTCACATATCTAAGGTGCAGTGCGGTGAACGTTCTTATCAAATTTAGACTTTGAGATACTACTTATTAAAGAATTCTGCATTTTTATACTAAAATGCAAGAATTTCTGTTTTTCTTTTTTAACATAAATAACACACACAAAATAGATTCCCAGTTAAGTCTTAGAAAACTAGAAAAACAATTAATTTATCTACTGATTGCCTACTGTATTTAGATTCCACCAAGAATATAAAGGTTGTAAAATGAGTTCCATCTCTCAAGGAGATTATAAATTTAATTGGGAAGACAAGGGCTACATATACAGAAATTAAATAGTGATATGAGAAATAAACAATAACAGGGGAAGTATTTCAATTAAAATTTTACCACAGAGTGATATAGTTTATATGTGGGTATTTATACACCCACATGTATATGTGAATATTTTAACCACAGATCTCTCTGGTTCCCAGTCATTTAGAACAGTGGTCCCCAACCTTTTTGGCACCAGGGACCATTAAATGGAAGACAGTTTTTCCATGGCCTGGGGTGGGGGTGGGACTGGGAGTGGGGGTGGGGAAGGTGGCACTCAGGTGGTGATGCCAGTGATGGGAAGCCTCTGTAAATACACATGAAGCTTGGCTGGCTTGCCCACTGCTCACCTCCTAATGTGCAGGGGGGTTGGGGGCTTTTCTAAGTTTCATAGAAGACAACTTTTCCCAGGGTGGAGGTGGTGTGGAGGCGGTGGAACTCTGCGGCCTGGTCCCTAACAGGCCACTAACTGGTACCACTCAGTGGCACTGGAGTTGTTGACTGCAGATTTGGAGGATCTTGTTTGTGAATTTCAAGGCCTTTCTACCTAATCATTTTTATCTCTTGCTATTTATCGTAAGCTGTATATCACAGTGATAGTAAGTTCATCATGCTGTTAGTGATTATGACTCCTGTGTAAAATAAGAGCTGAAAAGTGTTAGGATAAAATTCCTTTATTCACTGAGTGTAATTGAAATTTACTTTCATGATTGTTTCTAAATCATGTTTAAGTCTGCCTTAAATTGAGGATTGGCTTGAACCCTTAAAATAATTCAAAAAAATCAAACTCTAATGCCAACAAGAGAAATCAAGGTCACCTATTGTTTGGAGTTTTTCTTTTTCTTCTTTAGCTGACAGATTAATCTTTAATCAGTTAATTTTTAGACTGCAGCAATCTTTACTCTGTTTTTTATTTGTTTTATGTTTTTTAACCGTGTAACTTTTGATTTCCAAATCAATTTAATGAATCATGGTTGCCAGGGTATCTTGCTAGCAGGTCTTAAGATTGGTTCATTGGTGGACAAGATGTCAATTCTGAATGGTTATATTCTAGATCATCATTATTGTCTTGATAATTCATGATATTCAGATAAGTGAGATGTGAGCACTGATTATTTTGTTCAAGAAACTAGGTGTGAGATACTTTGGTTTATGGCTTACAGACCTGAAGAAGCTAGCAAATGCCATTGCTTCACTTTTTAATATGATTTGTATGGAACTTGATTTTAAGTTGTCATCATATTGTCTGATGTCCTCCCAAAGAGTATGTTAGCTTCCTAAATTTGGTTTTCATCTTTTCACCATATTGATTAGTTTAAGCAGCAGAATTCTGTGGTAACTTCAGGTTCTATTTTACTACTATTGCTCCCTTTAAACACTCAACATCGGCCGGGCGCGGTGGCTCACGCCTGTAATCCTAGCACTCTGGGAGGCCGAGGCGGGCGGATTGCTCGAGGCCAGGAGTTCAAAACCAGCCTGAGCACGAGTGAGACCCCGTCTCTACTATAAATAGAAAGAAATTAATTGGCCAACTAATATATATATATAAAATTTAGCCGGGCATGGTGGCGCATGCCTGTAGTCCCAGCTACTTGGGAGGCTGAGGCAGAAGGATTACTTGAGCCCAGGAGTTTGAGGTTGCTGTGAGCCAGGCTGACGCCACGGCACTCACTATAGCCTGGGCAACAAGCGAGACTCTGTCTCAAAAAAAAAACCACAAAAAAACCAAAAAAACACTCAACATCAATTGCTGCTTTCAGAAGATTTTCTCTTTATAGAGGAAAATATGATAGATTTCCTCTGGAATTCAAACTGTCACTCAAATCTTACCTAATTTCTAGAACTTCCCATCATTTCTTCTTGACCATTCTACATTCTTCTAGTTATTTAGACTATATCCACCTCCTCAGAAACTCATCTCTAACCATCTTCATTAAGTGATAAATAACCAGACGTGCTTATATGCAAATATATAAATAGGTATTTTTTTATCATGCATTTTATGCATGTTGTTCTATTTAGTTTGTTAATTTCCTATGTGTTTGTCTGCTAGATTTAAAGCTACTTAATGGCAGGAAAACCAACTAACAGCCTGTAACTAGGGGAATCATATGCCCTGTGGACCCTAACTACAAGTGTACTGGATTTATTGATACCCATGTTGGTATTTTGGAAATATTCTCTGCTAATAGTAGCTGAACATACAAAGAAAAAGTGATGATGCGAGGTTTACATCTGCTATCCAGAACTACCTTTTGTGTATTTTCTATAGTAAAGTCATGTATTGCGTAGCTTTGTGATAAACTTTTTGATATTTTGAAGGAGATGGAAGAGTAATAAGTCCTTCGCCTCGTAGTAAATCATCATGCATCTCATCCACAACAAATGTGACAGAACTATATGGGCTGGAAATGAAAACTGCCACGAGCTCCTTATCAGCATTTGGAGATTCTTCCATTCAGACATCTTCAAAGTCCAGAATCCGGCAGGGCTGTCATAGTGCTGGCCCAAATGTATCTGGTAATGAGGGACTATCATCTCAGTTACAAGAGAGTTAAAATTTAGTACCAAGAGTTAGGATTACAAAGGGTTGAAGATAGCACTAGAGTAGTATTCTGTACTTTCAACCAATCTTCTAAGGCAAGGGTAATATTGTTTGGCACACACAGAACACATAGTTAGGTTTAAGGAGGAAAGAAACAAACTCAAATTTAGTAATTAATTTCAAATATAGAGAGCTATGGAAACTTTCTAGATAAGATATTTGTAGATGCCAAAGTTCTCCAAATATAAGGTGACTTTAATTTCAAGATTCTAAAAGGTTTTACTTAATCAAGTAATTTGTATATCATTTTTAATAGGTGATCATATTAATTTGGTGAGCTCATCAATGCCATCATTTCCTATTCTCCAACGTTCTTCTGAAGAGAAAATTCTTTACTCAGACAGGTTGACCCTAGAAAGGTGAGGACAATTTATTTTATTTTATTTTTTTGACTAGATAATACATAGGCATGGTATAAGGTTTGAAAGATGCAAAAGTCTGCCTCCCTCCTCCTGTTCCTCAGCTATCCATTTCTCCTATCTAGATACAGTCACTTTTTACCAATTTTTTGTTTATGCTTCCAGAGGTATGGTGAGAAATTTTATATCTATATAATATAAAAGAGATTGACTATACTCCAAAAGAATACTATACAATTCTAAAATATGACATTGATGAAAATGGATTTTAGTCTAGAAAAGACTTTGCAATATAATCCTCACACAGGCTTGCTGGGGCTTTTCCATTCTAGTTGCCTATTACCATACTGGCCTCATCTCTTCATACACTCTCATTCACTCACTCTGCTTCAGCCACACCTGCTTCCTTGATGTACTTTAACCACACCAAGCATGCCTATACTTCAGGAATTTTGTACTTGCTGTTTCCTCTGCCTGGAATTCTGTTCCTCCTCATATCTGTAGGCTCACTCCCTTACCTCCTTCAGGTCTTTACTCAAATGTCATCATCTCAGGGATGATTTTCTCTGGCTGCCCTCTCCAAAATTGCAACGCCTTCCATTCTGATAATCCCAGCCCCCTTCTCTGCTTTATTTTTCTCCTTAGCATTGATCAACCTCTAACATATTAACTGTTTAATTGTCATGTTTATCTGTCTCCTACTAGAATATAAGTTCCATAAGCAGGAATGCAGTTCTGTATTGTGGGCACCTATAGCAGAACCTGGTACAAAATAAGGTCCTGATAAAATATTTTTGAATGAATGAATATATTTAGGACTCGATGCCCATTTTTGTATAGGAAGATATCCACAAGAGGATGTTAGATGAAAGATCCCAACCCTTACCTTAGTGGTATAATCAGCAGAGAAAACATCTCTACTGTACATATCTTTAGTGCACATACCTGACAACAAATCATAACAGATCATCTGTGTTTGTAGTTGCAAAAAATATCTCTGGAGAGTCTAACATGTTGTTTTATAAGCACAGGGCAGTATCTCTCATGACATCTGTGAAATATTAATGATTTTTGAGATTGTGATGTTAGTTAATACTTGTAACTTTCATGATATCATTTTAATGTTTTGAGGGATTTTGTGGTAATTTTTTTCTTGGTCTTTACAAGTCTGGTCAAAAATAGTACCTTAGCCTTTCAGTTTCATATTATTTGATATTAACAAGAGCCGGTATTTGTAAGACTGTGACATAACAAGTCAGGTGCTTCTATTGTCAGTAGCTCATGGAGACTCAGGCAAGTATGATTATGAATCCTCAGCAGCTTGGGCCTCCAGAGTGGAGAAGCAAATTTTGATCAGGTGGAAACTTGCTTATCAAGAAAGTCTGGACCAAAAGAAATGGTTCTGCTTTAAAAGTTGGTTGTGAAATAGCAGAATCACAAAGATTTCATAGGGTTAGTTTTAGTTTGACCAGAACCAGGATGTGCATCAAGAAAGTTGGACTAGCAGCAAAGAACTAACTTAGGGATCATTATTTGAGAGCCAGTGGGTAATGGCAGTTGAGTTCCAAAGGCAGATCTACCATGCTGTGTGGCTTCTTAACTGAGAGACTAAGGGGTTGAGAGTAGAATCCAGCCCTGAGAAGAAATACCAGGCTGTTCAGGGAGTTAAGGTAGTCCTGGGTATTAGAAAGGCAGCCTTTTGTCACTGAGAAGGAAACACAGAAGCAAAAACTTTATCCAATAGATGTGTCAGTGATGGGGTAGGAGATATAGCAACTCAAGAGTTTTGTAAATATAACAAACTCTCTCTTTGAGGACACTGGGTCATTGTTTATTATGTATGTTGCTTGCTTGTTTTGGTGGAATGACAGGGATTCCTGGTGTTAAGGGATATATAGGGATATATATATATGGGGATATATATATATATATATATATAGGGATATATATATGGGGAGATATATATATATAGGGATATATATATGGGGATATATATGGGGATATATAACCCTATATATCCCCATATAAGTGAGCCTTGGAGTTGGGATTTAGCCACTATGTTTGAAATCTGAGAAAGTGATCTCATTTCAAGCTACCTACAGTAATTTATGTAAGAGGGAGATCAGAGCTTATTTATTTTCCTGTCTCAGTAATGATTGACACAAGAACTGGATGAAATAGAAGTTAAGGGATATCAGTAAGTTTAACTATGAGAAGTAGAGAAAAGACTAAATCAGGGAAAATGACATAATTTAATTTTTTTGCTAAGTGGGTATACAAAGATATAAATTTTAAACTAGAATACTCATAAATTATTAATTTATAATTTATAAACCCAAAGTATCAACTATGGTAGAATAATTGAATACATGAAATGAATTCTAAATATTAATCATACATTAAAAAACTATTGCCTAATATTTTTTACCTTTTCTCTTATTTTAAACCAATTTCTTCAGCATCTATATTTTTAAACATTATATCTTTGTTACCCATTAACATTTGTTTTTTTTTTTCTGCTAATCATTCTTTTTTTCTCTTTATAAGGATGATTCTGATTACTTCCATAGTTTCACTTATCCTTGTAACACTCTGGTTTATTTTCTTTAAAGCTTGATTTAGGCTGGGCGCGGTGGCTCACGCCTGTAATCCTAGCACTTTGGGAGGCCGAGACGGGCGGATTGCTCGAGGTCAGGAGTTCGAAACCAGCCTAAGCAAGAGTGAGACCCCGTCTCTACTATAAATAGAAAGAAATTAATTGGCCAACTAATATATCTGTAGTCCCAGCTACTCAGGAGGCTGAGGCAGGAGGATTGCTTGAGCCCAGGAGTTTGAGGTTGCTGTGAGCTAGGCTGACGCCACGGCACTCACTCTAGCTTGGGCAACAAAGTGAGACTCTGTCTCAAAAAAAAAAAAAAAAAAAGCTTGATTTAGTTACTTGATTTTTACTGAACAAATTCTTTCTTATAAACCTCCCTATTAGAGTTGTTCACACTCAGAACTGTATTTTCCTTGAAAACTCCTTTCAACCTCTCAGGGTAGAATCATTCAGTACCTCCTGTCTGCCCATATTACTATACTAGTAGAATTCTTAAAAGGCCTTGTACTTATTTACTTTACATGTAATATAATTTTTTGCATAAAAAAAGGCTTACTGTTTTAAATACAGCTAAAGGCATATATTTTTAAGGTTTCAGTCTACCATGTAGCACTCTAAATATTCCTCAAAGTTCAAAGTTAGTGTTGAACATGTAAACATATTTTGTTCAGTAAGGACCACTTGCCATTAATGGATTTCAGGATGAATTTATTCTTTTTATCAAAATGAGCTGCACATGACTGAACTTCTTGCTCTTTTGAAGATATCATCCAGCTCAAGAGTCTATAATTCTATGAAAGATCTTTTTATATGGTTTTTCTCCCATAGATTAGTTGCCTGGGCAATCTCACATCAATGGATTTATGCCAAAGGCACTTCTCTGGTTTATGACATGGTTGTTTCAACCATCTAAACTTCTATAACAAAAGGTGTTGGGTGTTGTCTGATGTTAAGTCAATTTCATATGAAATAATCGATACTTGAGATTTTTTTAATACAATGAGAGCTTAGACTTAATTTTAATAATTACCCTTGTTAAAGTCTATTGGTTTTTTTGTGAATGATTTACAATTAAATATAGGTCACTTAATTCATGGGGGTTGGACATGGTCCAACTTATCTTTTTCTCCTCACAAAATGAGAGTACAAAGATACTAATAATATTTGTAAGAAAAAGTAGGCTGCTGAATCAGAATCTTAATAACTTTAAAAATTTTTTCTAGGCAAAAGCTGACTGTATGTCCTATCATCGATGGGGAAGAACACCTTCGTTTGTTGAACTTTCAACACAATTTTATCACTCGGATCCAAAATATTTCTAATCTACAGAGGTTAATATTCTTGGATTTATATGATAACCAGATTGAAGAAATTAGTGGGCTTTCTACTCTGAGATCCCTCCGTGTCCTTCTGTTGGGGAAAAACAGGTATTCTTTATAGAGCAGTTTTTGTTTATAGCCTAATGTTATATGTAGGACTAATGTTGAGTCCTGTGGGGTTAAGATGGCAACTCAGAATTGAATGATGCTAAAGAAACGACTTGACTAACATTTTTGAAAGATTATTTAAATGGATTAAGATTCAGTCATAATTTGTTTCATGAGATTCAGTGTGACAATTTGTCAAACAAAATAACATTTATTGAGTATATATTTCACTTCCATTGCTTGCCAGTCTCATATCTGATATAGAAGTAAATAGACTTAGGATACATTTTAAGCATGTGTATTCACTTTAGGCTTGTGTGTTTCACTTGAGATTCCTCTTAGTATTTGACTTAGAGTAGATACTTGATACTTTATGAATGTCAAATCACGGATTGATTCCTTTTCAGATGGTAGTTTCAGTATGTATTTAATATTACATCCTATGTGAACTTCCCCAGTTCCATTTATGTAGCTCTTTTATGCAGTGCAGCTACACATTCCTGACTCATTTCTTTGAGATTTATTCACGACTTTTCTCTTTATTCTCTTTGACTGGCTAGTTTTTGCCTATAAAGAAGGGCTGTTTAGCAAAATCTAAAACTAATTTTTATATTTTCAAATTTTAAAGTTTAGATATATCATTATACCCAGGTTAGGTTCCCCTAGCCCCTCTTTACTCTGCATGCCCCTCGGCCCCCACTGCCATTCCCCCAGCATGGATTTTGGATTACTTCTTGTAGAGGAAGAAATGTTATATCTTTTCATCACCCATTGCAAGGCACATGGCTGACATTCCTATAACAAACACAGATTAACAAGGGAAAATCATAACAAATTTATTTAATGTGAGTTTTATGTGACACAGGAGCCCTCAGAAATGAAGACTCAAAGAAACAGGGAAAATTGTATTTTTATGCTAAGGTTTGATGACAAGTGGACAGTTGTTTAGAGGTATGATTGCACAAAAGGGGGAAGGATGCAATGGTAATAAACTGGGAGAACATAGCAAGTCCTGTTTGTTCAGATTCTACTTGGCATCTCTGTGTCTTCATTCCTTTTTGGAGGATATAGGACAGGATCCCTCTGGAATGAGGGTCTTATGACTTACTTTCAGGGGAGGTAGGTCAGAGAATTCTTTTTATGGCTTCGAGGGAAAAGATTAGAGAGTGATTTTCCTGCTTTTGTGGTTTTCTCAATTTCCTTCAGCTTAAATTACTCAGTATGCCTAGGTGTCATAATTTAGGGTATTGTGTTCTGAGCCCCAAAAGTCATTATTCTTACTACCCAATGATAATGTATTTTTTCCAAGATCGTGTCCCAGAGACCTAGGCTCTTATCTGTCCTCTGTGGCTTCTTTGAAAGTTCCCAACAGTGTGGTTTATCACCCATAATTAGTTCAAGTGTTAAATTAAACATGTAGTGTAAGGGAATTTGGGGGGTGTCTTAGTCTGTGTTGCTATAAAGGAATACCTGAGTCTGGGCAATTTATAAAGAAAAGAGGTTTATTTGGCTTATGGTTCTGCAGGCTGGTGAGGGCTCGGGATGCTCCTCTTCATGGTGGAAAGTGAATGTGAGCAGATGTGTGTGGAGATCACATGATGAGAAAGGAGGAAGAAAGCGTAAGGCTCTTTTTACCAGCCAGCTGTGGTTGGAACTAATAGAGTGAGAACTCACTCCACACCATTCTCCTATATCCTCTATTCATGAGGGATCTGCCTCTTGACCCAACACCTCCCATTAGGCCCACCATTGGGGATCAAATTTCAACATGAGGTTTGGAGGGGTCAAATATCCCAACTATAGCAGAAGGATTATATAATCATAAAGTATTAAAGCTTGACGTGACCTCAGAGGTCAGCTTTCTAATTTTACAGATGAAGAAATGGAAAGGTAAAGTGACTTTTGCAGTTACAAACTCTATACAGTAGGAATATGCCACCAGGGCAGTTCATTGAGTAAGGTAAGGAGGGAAGTTCACTTTTCATACATTTAAGGCATTCTCTTCTAGGTGCTCCCTGTTATCTCTCCCAGGGATTTTACTAGTTTTTGACTTACAGAGTTACTGATTTCTTTTTCTAACTTACATTTGTTCTTTAATACTATTGACTTTTTGCCCTTCTTTTAGTCCTTGAGTTAAGAATGTTTTCTAGTGGTATTTTTAATCTCCTCCGGTTTTAAATGTAATATCTAATGGCTGCCTCTATCTAGTTCCTGCCTTTTTAATTCATATCTCTGGTTGAGGCATCTCAACCAGATGGCTCAAGGTTCAGGCAGGCTCAACATAGATTTCTATTCGAAAGCTAAAAAGACCCCTGCTCAGATTCTGTGTGTGAAGTTTCCATTGCTACCAAAGAACTCCCAACTCCACTTTGCTGTTGAAGTTCCTGCCCCCTAATTTTTCTGCCTTCAACATCCCCTGCTTATCCTCTCTAGAACTTCTGGTGCCCTTATAGTTACAGGCTAATGAATAGAACTTCTACATTTTCTTCTGATTATCTAGGATTATGAAAACTCTGCCAGATCCTGGGATTCTCTGTGCCTTTCTTTTTGACTCTTTGAAGTTTTCCACTTAAGGATTTGTCTCTGATGCCTTAAAAGCTGAGATTTTGTATAGGTTCTGTGGTAGAGTCTTTATCCCAGCATCAGTGACATAATGTGACCTGCAGAGACAGCTGCAATATATCCCTAGAGGTCTGTAGCTGCTGAGGTGATGGGCGAGGCTAGTCTTTTTCTAGTTTTAATTTCCATTCAGTGGGAGAACTTCTTTTTAAAAAAAATATTTCAGGTTACGTTGGTGTTAATGTAAAAATCAATCAACTATTTGGGCACTGAGTAGGATTCTGCAAATTCTTTGTATCCATACCTAATTTGACAAGGGGCCCTAAAGTCAACTGAAATTTTCATCTACCTTTGAATTCCTTAGAGTTGGATGAGTTTTTAGGTAATTTCAGGTATAGGGGTGGAGGGAGAATTTATGGCAAAGGCAACTTATGAGAACAAGACAGCAAGATTTTTGGTTGGTCTTAGGTCTAATTGATTGAACTACTTGTCTATTTTCTTTCCTATTCAACCTGGGCAATCAGAATCTGAAGGAAGTGAGAGTCATAAAGCCAGTATGAGTCAAAGCTAAAAGAATGCTTGAAGACCCAACAAAAAGGGAGTGAGTGTATGAGGCATTATGTGGGAAGACATATTGCACATGAATGTTTCTGTGGTTAAAGTGCCTTAAAGGTGCTCAGAGTTTCTGATAAACACAGAAACAGACTACATTGATTCTCCAGATCAGAGAACTTTTGGCTGAGATAATCTCCATTATCCTTGGGGTATAATTTTCAAAATTCTAAAAATATAATTCTCAGATACATAAATAGTAATCACAGGCCAATGATTTAATTAACTCAATAATGTGGGAAGCAGCAGGATGACAAAGCTAGTTCAAAAGAGGACAAGAGAAACTGAGAGATAGTCAATGGTTTAGCAAGCCCTCAGAAGTTTGAGAACCACTGTTTTAGGGAATGTGAGCTTGGGAGTATAAAGGGATTGAATAACAAAGGCTTCTCTACTAGCTGTGAGATCAGATTTCTATCATAAAACATAACTGTCCTAAACCATATTATTAGGGTACTGTAATTTTCTACAGCTATTCTAGATATTTCAAGAGCAAAGCAGACAGAGGAATAATTTTGTTGAAAGTTTTGTCTGTTTTCCCATAAGGTTGGGCTAGCTATTTGAGAGATTTAAATAGTATATAGGATAGTATTAAATGCCTGGCCCTGGATGAAGTCTAATCAATTCTAATGCGTCCAGAAGGATGCTGATGGTTTGGATGAAGTGACATAGGGGTGTTCAGGATATTGGGTACTTTGTAGGAAAAGAGTAGATTCTGCCAGTGTGATGATGTGAGAGAAGAGACTGATGAAGAGGTTATGGTCATAAGGGAGTGTGGTATCTTTGTGGTGATGGAATTAAGAGAAGTACAACCACATGGTGATGATACATGGTGGGTTTATGATAAATGGTTTTATCAACTAAATTGGATTAATTGGTTTGTGGTGATATGATTCTTGATTTGGCAATGATACAGGATGGCTGAGGTCAAGAGGAGACAGATATTCACAAAGTTTAAGTTTGCATTATGTTTAAATAGTGATCAACATATATATATATATATCATATAAATATCCAATGGATGATATAGGAAATTTTAGAAAGGTTGAAATGGTTCTTTAGGCAGTAAACAATGACAACAGAAATAAATAGTGATAAATATATGGAGATAAAGATGGGTTTTGTGAATTTTATTTTTTGTCTTTTCTTTGATCTCATCTCTCTACTAAATAATGGCACTAGGATAAAGTAGGATCTATAGAATGAAGAACAATAAAAAGTAAGTGTTTGGTTTTGTTAGAAGAGTCCAGTTGGAGGAAATTGGGCAGGTAAAGTAGCCACACAATATCGGAATGAGGGAGACAATGGGTAGGCCTAATCTTTAGAGGATATAAGAGGGAGCATTTTAGAGATAAAATGCTGGTGTTTTAATTTATAGCAAAGTTCTAGCTTTTTGCAAGATGACAAATCAGAAATTTCAAATAAATGTAAGTGTTTTACAAACTGAGCAGTCTAGTAGAAAGCATTTAGGTGGTGTGTAATTTGTCTCTGTAATAAACAATCCTATTATGAATACCCTTGTACATAAAACTCATCCATTCAATAATTAGTATGTTCATTTATTCATTAAACAAATAATTAAATTGGGTGCCTACTTGGTACCAGACAGTGTTATGAGTGCTGGAGATAAAGAACATCTTGAAGCTCAAATTTTGGTTTGGTAAGATGAAAATTTTAAAAAGTAAACACAAAAATAATATAATTTTGGGCAATGACAAATGCTGTGAAGTCAATTAAAGTAGAGAAAGGAGAGAGTAGGGGGAACAAGAAGAGAAAGCTGTTTTAGATAGGATCATCTGGTGGCAACTATAAAATGTTTGAACTGAGACCTTTTATAATGTGAAGGTGTGATCCCTGTGAAGTTTTGGCAGAAGAATGTTAAGGCAGAAGGAACAGCATGGGTAAATATCCTAAGGTGGAAATTAACTTGTCAGGTTTAAATACAGCAAGTATGCCCCTGTAGCTGGAGCAGAAGGAGTGAGCCTATAGTAAGAGATAAGGCTGGGTAGGGAAGGAGTTGGCAGCAAGATAGTTTAGTGTCTTGCAGGTAGAAGTAAGGAGTTTAGATTGTATTTTAAGATGAAGGGAACTGCCTTACATAAGTGCCTTGACCTATAGTTCTTAGAAGTAGAATTACTTTTTTCTAAAGGTAAATATTTAAGCTATCTTCCCCCTAGTGGCATTGCATTTTTAAAATTATAATAAATCAAAGGGAAATATATTATTGTTTAAGATATATATTGTTAGGGTGGGAATTTATATGCAGGATGAGAAAGAGTTCTCAACACAAAGATTAGTATAGAAAGAAGAAAGAAGATTATTTTACTTTCCCTGAGAGAAAAGGGGAGGGAAAGGGCTTGGCATAAAGAAAGAAAGAGAGAAGTGCTGGCCCTGAGCAGATGGCCTCAGGATTTTTATGGGGGAAAAGGGAAACAAAGAAAAATTTATTGTGGCAGACTGATAGCAGGAAAATGACAGTAGGAAAATGGCTGTGGAGCTGCTGTGTCTGGTTTTTCTCTTTTCTTGTTTTTTTTTTTTTTCCCTCTTCTCTTAGAGATAGTCTTATTTGGCCAGACGGGTCTGGCGAATGTAAAAGAGGATTTATTCTGTCTGCTCAGCTCTTTTCAAATGCTGTGAAAACAGTCTCAGCAGGCAGTTAATTAATCTTAAAAGACAGGTGATTAATCTTAAATTCTAATACCTAATAAACTAGTTCATTTTTCTCTGTTAGATAGTTTATTAGCAAGGCTGTCCTTTCATATATATTATAACTATATATATAGAGAGGGAGAGAGAATAAATTAAAATGAGTTGCATTTTTACACAAAGCATGCTTTGATTTACAAAGAGATGTGATACATCCATATTTCTATTCTACTTACTCTATTTATTCTGATTTTCAGAATCAAAAAAATCTCAAATCTGGAAAATCTAAAAAGCTTAGATGTCTTGGACCTTCATGGAAATCAGGTATGGTAAAGCCCTTTCACTCCTTTCTTTTTTAAGAAGAAGTACAAAATATTGGTATTATAAAAGATATAAAAATCATACTTACATTGAATTTTTCAAGAATCATTTTACTGATCCACTGGAATTTCTAAGATATTAAGCTATTCATTTAAGATTTGGTAACTCCTTAGCAGTAAATGACAAATAAAACTTACACAACATTAGAATCCTTAGAGTTATTATAATTTTATTTTTTATTTAGTTTTTTATTAACTTATTTTTATAATACACATTACATTATCTAGCCAATCTGGGCTCCCTGTTCTGTTCAGTCAATTTGTCTACTGCTATCCAAGAACTAGAATATTCCTGACTTTCTTCTACTTAGGTGTTTCTTTTTTATTCTATCTCCTTACTTCTACCTCAGAGTTAACCACTATTCTGGATTTCACATTTTTCATTCCTTTTTTAGTTGGGTGAGTTTTTTAGTTTGGTTTTATTACATGAAGATATGTCTAAATAATATATTGTTTAGTAGTATTATCTTTTCATTTTAAAAAGGTATCATATTGTCATCATCTAGTGTTTGCTTTTCTGATACAGTATTATGTTACTGAGATTTATCTATTTTAAGTAGCTATAGTTTCTCAGTTTTCACTGTTATATGTTCCATGGTAAGACTATACAGAAACTTTATTCTCCAGTAGCTTATTGAGAGACATTTGGGTTGTTTTTTCTTTTTATTTCTTTCTTGGTTTTATTTTGTTTTTTGCTATTATAAATACTACTTCTAAGTACTTTCTTGTACTTGTCTCCCCTTCTACATATTCCATATGTACCCTAGAGCAGTGGTCCCCAACTTTTTTGTCAACAGGGACTGGTTTCATGGAAGACAATTTTTCCATGGATTGGGGATGGGGGTGTGGAGTGTCATGGTGGGAGGAGGTATGGTGCTGGAGAACCCAGGCAGTGAGGAGAGGTTTATTTCCTAACAGACAACGGACCAGTAATGGGCCACAGCGTGGGAGTTGGGCACTGTAGCTCTAGAGCATATGTCTAGGAGTAAAACTGATGAGTCATAGGCTATTTAAATGTTTAACTCCAAAAGATAATGCCAAATTGTTTTCCAAACTGGTTATACCAGTTTATATTCCTCCCAGTAATATATAGTCAGTCCTGTTGCTTCACATCCTTTTCAACATTTGGAATTATCAAACTTCTTAATTTTTGCTGATTGAATTGGTGTAAAGTGGTGTTGCTTTGTGGTTTTGAGTTATATTTTCCTGATTAGTGTTTACCTACCTTTCTAGCCTCTTCTTTCACTGTTCCTCCACACGTGTTCGATTCTCTAGTGGTAAAAATTACTTACATTGTGTTTAATCTCAGTGCCTTTGCATATGATATTCTTTTATCTTTAGAAAATTACTCTTCCACATGGTTCTTGTAGGATTTACTATTAGAATGGCTGTATTTTTGAGTTACCTTCTAGTTTGATATAATCTGGGCTCTCTATTCTGTTCAGTCAATTTGACTACCTCTATATCTCTCTGTCTTAATTTCTATATCTGATTTATTGTGTTCCCCCTCTTCTCTGTCAGAGCAACTTGGCTTTTTTATTTTAACCCTTTGCTCATCCATTTACATTTTTATCTTTGAAATATATTTATTCATAAATAGCTACATGAGGTACATACTCATGCAGAAGGTAAAGTCTCTTCTGAAGTGATGAGCTTATATTCAGGGATGATCCAGGAGTCCTTGCCTGTTGATGAACAAGAGCTGCCACTGCTGCTTGCAGTTGGTCAGGTAAACTCTCAGTATGATCTTGCTAGATTTTCTAACACCTGTTAGTCCCAATAGTTTTATTGAAAGCTAATATAATTAATAAAAGCCTTAATAGATCTAGATAGACCACATCTACTAGGTTCTAATCTATTTCCATTCCAATGTGTGTGTCTGCATGTGCATGTAGTGGGAGGAGTGTTGGTGTCCTGGAAATTGTCTAACTCTGCAGGCTGGGTAGGGTCAGTCCAGTAGAGGGAAAGTTATCCTGTTATATAGTGGTGGAAGGGGAAGAGGAATTAAAGAGTATATTGACAATAAAAGAATATCATATGCAAAGGCACTGAGATTAAAAACAATGTAAGTAATTTTTACCACTAGAGAATTGAACACGTGTAGAGGAACAGTGAAAAAAGAGGCTAGAAAGGTAGGTAAAGGCCAGATTATGGAGGGCTTGATGTGCCAGGCTAAGGAATAGGTATTTAATCTTGAGGACCACTGTTTTAAAATTTGTTTATAACTATTAGTGTTACATTTTATGGTAGCAATATTTTTCTCAAGTTTATTTTTAAATGTATATATGAAAAGTAATAAACATGTTTATGCATTTTTCAAATTATAGTATACCTTTAAGAGTTCATAAGTACTACCCAAGATCTTTCAGAACACCTGAACACAATATTATTTGAGCTATACATTATGTATAGGCATTATTTACCAACCATTAAATTGATGAAAAATGCTTTATTCCTTATTAACTGACCTGTGTTTATATACTATATAATTCAGCATATTTTGTGATATTCTGCATATTAAGATTAGACATTTGTGCTACACAAATTATTCTCAAGGTTTTATAACTACAAGAAGGAAGTTTTAAGTGAAAATCTGAGTCTTGTTTCAAAATATATAAATCCAATAAACAAAAATTTGGAATATTTCAAAGCAAAGATATAGTCTTAGTGACCCTATGTTTCTAAAAAGTTAGGAGATACACTATTCAAGATGAAACAACTAATTTCTAACTCTAAAAATTTAGCATCAAATAGTAAAAAGCTAAAAAAAATTAAGTGGATGTTTTTTGTCTTTAAATTTACTCCTATGTCTTTACCCAGGCAGAGCAGTCTAGATTACGCTTACATATGAAGATAAGACTGGAGTATCCAGCTTTCCTAGGTGCATTAAGAAGCCCCGCAGTCTATCTTGGGACTCTCTCTAATCACTGTGACCCATAATCAGGCTTTCCGACATTCCCATCATCTTTTCTTTTTGCTATGAAGTATATCAACCAATCAAGAACTACACTCTCACCTTCCACTACCCTTTGCCTGAAGCTTCTGTCGCCCTATCTATTCTTGTGACTTTGTCCATGGCTGCAATGAGTAACTGACTTTATCCCATAGCAGATGTTGTACACAATTCTGGCCTTTTGGATTGCAAACCAAGAAGCCAGAGAATATCCCTAGTGATTTTTTTAAAAATTAGAGGTTGATACCCATGTACAAGAATTAACAGTGTTTCTTTACAGACATTTCAAACTAGAAGGTAACTCAAAAATACAGCCATTCTAATAGTAAATCCTACCAGGACCATGTGGAAGAGTAATTTTCTAAAAGAACTGTCCAGAACTATTAGCAGAAGGGAGAAGACACGCTATGCAGTTCATACAATTGTGCCCTTTTATATGTTTCTTGAGCTCAGGAAGGTTTTACATATTTAGCCATTGTTTCTTTCCCATTTATGTTTGTTGTCTTTATATTGTTTGTCTTCCATATCTCCATTTTATCTTTTATTTTTCTTATATGTTTTTCCTTGGTATGTTGGGAGGACTTCTCAAGCTTGTAATGACATTACTAATCTCTTTTTTCCTGTGGTATCTATTTTGCTTTTTATTGGTTTCATACACTTTGAATTTTATCACTTATTTAGTTTTGAAATGTTTTATTCTATGTCTTATTACATAGTTCTATCATTTATAAATACTCATAACCTTCTTCTTTTTCAACTTTTATATGATTTTATTTCCCTTATCTAAGACATTAGATAAGTCTTAGAACTAAGTTTAAACATGGTCATAGATTGTCTTTATATATTATTATTGAATTTACAATAAACATATGTTTCTCTTTTATAACCTAGATGGAATCTAGATGGTATTTCTTGAATGTAAGGGAGAATCCAAATAACAACATGGAAAATAGATTATACATCTAAAAATGAGTTATGAGTTTTTTTAGCTGACATCTGCTTTGAAGTGTTAGATAAAAAATTTCAAATATACTGTGATTGGGGTACAAATGAGCAAACTAATCTCTGGTGATTTTGAAATTCATTTTCTTAATGTTCAGAAGAAACATGTTATATGTGCAACTGATTATTACTTAAGTACATTATATTAAGAGGTTGACATGGTTGCACTATTGCACCGAAAGGTAATCACTGAAAGTCAGAAAGTTCTTTCTCTCATGCACGATTCATGGATTAAATAATTAAGTTATTTGTAGTGACATAATAGTGAGAGTATAGACTCTGGAGAGATAGTGCTTGGGCTCACATCTCAACTTTGTCACTTAGCTGTGTAACCTTGGGTAAATTTTTGGCTTGTAAAAAAAAAAGAGAGGTTGATGAAGTCTTCCACCAGGACTCTTATTCTGTGTCACGCAGAAACTCATCCTGTTGTGCTATGCTTGCTATAGTATAGTCGTGGGGCTTAAAATCAAGCTGAGCTCTCATCACTTCACGGTGTTAGTCTATACTTACCCTCACCTTAGTAGGCAACTCAAACTCTGCTGCAGTTCATTGCTTATGTGTATATGTATATTCCATAATTCAAGTCCTCTTGTTTTAAACAATTGGCATCTACCATATTGTACCCTGACTATAAACATCTATCTAAACTAAACTATCTCCTCTCAAGCATTTCTACTAATAAAAGAATATCCTCACCTTCGCCTGGGGATCCTAGTTGCTTGAATCTTTCCATTCAGACTCTTGATCACTCTCAGGATCCTGTAGTATAAATAGAATTAAGAATGGGAACTTGGTATTCCTTTCCCTTGCCTTTTCTCTCAGAGGGCAGACTTGCTTTGTCAAAACATTGTAAGCATATGCCTTGGTCTCACAGTACATTTCTATCTGGCAGGTAATATATAACCTTCACAGGAGCTGGCACAGTATTGGGCTCTTAGAGTTACCCCAGACAATGGACTCATTGCTTATTTGATGAAATTTACTTCAAATATGTAGTATGGTCAAATTTTAAAATATGATCTTTTAGTTAATTTTCACATGACTTTATATTATCTACAACATGGAAATAAATAGATTCTTAAATGTCAGCATGTAAACTTGTCACTGAATCCAATGACTTTGTATACTTTATTTTTACAGTTTTTAAGACATGCATACTGAGATGTTTGCCTGCTAATCTCCCCTCCCCCATTTTTTGACAGATTACCAAAATCGAAAACGTCAATCATCTGTGTGATTTGAGAGTTTTAAATCTTGCCAGAAACCTTTTAAGTCATGTCGATAATCTCAATGGGCTGGATTCACTAACTGAACTTAACCTGCGCCACAATCAAATCACTTTTGTGGTAAGTATTAAAATGGAACTGATATGTCCTTTCTGGCTTTCTTTCAAGGAAATGAAACAAATGTCATAGCATGGCTTTGTGCAAAAAAATCTAAGATTATTTAGTTATTTTTTCTGAATTTGAATTGTGGGATATAATTATTAAGCTTTGTAATATGTTGATTTGGAAAGTATTGAGATATTTTCATTTTAAAAGAATAAATATAAAATTAGAAGTATTATGACTAAAATCAGCTAGTGTAAATGAGTACTGAATCATTTCCTGTTTTGTCATGGTTATAGAATTAATAAAAAAGAAGCTTATTGGTGACTGAAAGTTGAGGAATTGTTGCACTGAGGAGAAGGCACAGAGAGGAGATGTTGAGGGTTATGAAAACACACATAAGTATCATTTCCTTTGCAATTTTTAAAGAGGCAGTAGAAAGAGCATTGTATAGGGGGGCATCAGAGTCCTAGTCCTGGTCTTGGCTTTACCTCTTATTAGCTGTGTGACATTAAATAAATTGCTTTAATTCTCTGGGCCTCAGTTTAGCTTTTTCTAAAATTAAGGACATTGGGCTAGTTTGGCTCTAGGGTCTTTTTTGGCTTGTTGATTCTGAAAAAAGATGTAAAGATGATAGAGGACTGGCATTGTGAACAACAGGAAAAGAGTTAGATTGTGGGAGCAAAAAATTACAGAAACAGGACTCTGGAACTCTGAGACAAGCTTGTTTATGATTTTATAATTTATGATTTTTGCTGAAGGTCAGCAACTAAATAGCAGTTTGATTCTGAGGTATTTTATATTTGTGCATGCGTGAAGAGCACTAGAAATATAGCTGTTCTGCTCTATAATAGGATACAAGGTAAGAAAAACATTATTTGTTCTTTTAACAAGTTTCCTTGTTTTAAAAGCCATATAAAAACTACATTAGGAAGAAAAAAAAACTACATTAGGATATCTCTGGTATCATTTAAGTACTTTGAAAGGCACAATCTAACTTTTAACTCTTTTAGGACATTAAGTTCCTTAGTAAAAAGTTAAGTATACTGTAAATGGTATACTTGAAAATATTGGGGAACAAGATGATGCCTTATCTCTAGGCCTCATTGTACAGATTGGTTTCATTTTGAAGTTTTCTCAGAAAATGTGAACCAGGAAATATTCATATCTTCTAGGAGGTTAGGAAAACTTCAGAACCTTCTCTAAGACATGGATTTATTTCAGAACTTCTAAATTATGTCAAGCCCTCCCCAGACTGGATATAAATATTTGAACTGTAATGTTTATTTAAAAAAGACATCCAGATTGGGTTAATCTATTATGTTAGTAAATCTCCAGGAACTGTTCAGTCTGGACTTAATCTGTCCCTAGGACACTAGATCTGGTAAGATTCCACAAAGCTTTGGTAGAGTGGGGAACAGAATCTATTGCCCCTAGTATATTCTTACTTATATTTTGGCTTTCATTTGGAAAATGCATAATGTATATCCAGGAAATTGCTTGCTGAATTTCCCATTGAATATTATGTCTAATCATTACTGTTATAGTTTAGGTGGCAGTAAACATCTTATAGAAAAGAAAGTTGTATTAATTTCTAAGAGTTAAAAATGATACTTAATGATAAGTATCATGCATATTAATAATAGGAAATTATGAATATACATATAAGGATAAATAAGAAACTTCATCTAATTCTTATTTATTTATTTTTGAAAGCATCCTTTTCATAAAAGATCCAAGGGACTTTTTATTCTGAGGATATAGGGATTTTTTTCATTATCTTTTCTTATCTCTGAGGTCAGTTATCACACTTACTCTTTTTGCTTTTTTTCTTTCATGATTTTGATTCTCCTCAATGGCTGATAATCCTTAAATGAAGGATTATGTTAAGTAGATGTCTTGTGTATTGTGCTGTTGAATAGGTCTTTTTAGCCATGATATAGCTCTCTAGAATTATCACTCTATTTGTGTAAGCTCTTGAATCCCACATAGTGGTGGACTTCCCTTTACGGTGAATGGAAAGAAAAAGGCAGGCTTACTCTATGCCAAAATAAGAAAGACTTTACTTTTGGGGTAGAAGCACTTTATTTTCATTTGTTCCAGGTGAAACTGCCATTTCTTGTTTCCCTCTGATTCTTTTGTAGCAGTTATTAACTGTCATCATAGATAAAACATCCACTCTCCATCCTGCCTTGACAAATAACGCTTTGTTTAGAGAATAGTTCCTGAGGCTCTACTTGAGGATTTCTTCAGCCTATTACTCTGTACATGTTTATGTTCATGACAAGGGTAGGAGTAGGGTGGGTTTGTTGGTGTTCCAAAAATAGCTGTTGAGTAGACAGATCTTTAATTATCCACCTACTTGATTCACCGCAGTTCATCATAGTCCGTGCCTGCTCCTTGTATTCACTGACTGCATGGAGTAAGATGGAATTTGCTCAGAAAAATTGTTGTATTTGAATGCAGCATCTCTCTTGCAGTTCTGAGCTACGGTTCTCCTCACTCATGGTAATGGTAATCTCCTATTAGATCTCATCAGCTTTCCAGCTGTCTGAGATTCATCAGTAATGTTGGTCTGTTAATGACAATTCTCTTATTTTTAGGATTTCTATGAATTTACTCATTTTAGTGCACTTTTATTGCTTTATACAATGATTCTTGGAAAGAAGGGGAAACAAATGTATTTCCTACTTAACCATCTTGAACAGAAACCTCTGATGTTTTTGCTGTAGAAAGTTATTGTTTGTTTGTTTATTCACCTGTCTTTTTCTTGGAAATCTTATAATTTGAAACCAGAATATCTATTTAGCTAATATGGTATCTTTTTCTTTAAAAAATTTATGAAACATTTCAGAAATCCTCAAAAGAATAGTAAAAAATATTACCAACATTTGTATATCTACCAATTAACTTAGTAAATAAAAACCTTTCAAATATAGTTGAGGCCTCATGTGTAACCCTCTCTCATCATATTCCTTCCCTCTTTTGCAGAGGTAACCACAATTCTGAATATGGTGGTGTTTTTTTCTCATGAATATTTGTTTCTTTTTTCCATATATGTATGTATCTCTAAATACTATGTATTAATTGTTTTATGTACTTCTAAATATTCCATAAATGAATTATCGTACTGTATGTACATTCTGTAAGTTGCTTTTATTGACATTATGCTTTGAGATTTATCCATGTTGATACCTGTAGTTATAGTTTGCTAATTTTCATGATTATATAGTCTTCCATTATATGATTATAATTAAATATTTATTCTTCTATTCATAAATAGTCATATTTTTCCAATTTTTTGATATTACAAAGTGGCACAAATGACATTTTTATACATTTATTTTTGTGTATGTGTGTAACAGTTTTTCTAAGGACACTATTTTAGACATTTTGGCCATAATCTGTAGTAATAGATAAAATTTACATTGGAACCCAGTGATTATATGCATATGTATATGGGTAAATTATATATAATGGAAACAAGCATTTCATGAAACTATATTTAGGCTTACTGTGATCCATTCTTGTGTATCCCATTCTAATCTATCTCATTAAAAAATATGGTCTCAAAAATAATGTTGGTCTCAACACAGTAAACTGATTTTTTGACCAATGAGAAATTGGTTGTAACTCGTATTTGAAAAACTATGTTCAGTGGTAGGTACTTGGAGGAAGCATTGTTAGGTGGCAGGATTATGCACATCATTCACTTTATCCAGTATCACCCAAATTTCTCCAGGGTGGCCATACCAAATTGCATTTCTGTCACTATTACCTGAGAGTTCTGTAACTTCACATCTTGGTTGACACTTCATATTTTAGACTATTTATTTCTGCCAATCTGTTAGCTAAGAAGTTGTATTGTGTTGATATTTTAATTGGAATTTCTAGTGAGACTGAATGCTTGTTATCTTTTTTCTTTTTTGATACTGAGATTGCCTTTTCTGTGAATAGCCTTATCTTTTGCCCATTTTAATGACAGTTTTTTTTCCCTATTGATATGTAGTATTTCTTTTATTTCTGCTTTTCACATTTAGGTGTTTCATCTATTTTGAATTGATTTTTGCCTGTTGTATGAAGCTGAAATTCAATTTCATTTTTGTTTCTGGTATGGATAACCAATTGTCCCAGCACTGTTTATTGAAAAGTAGATTATCTCTGTCCCCCGCTCCCTGTCCCCTTGGCACTATCTCCCTTTATCTATCGAACTAAGTTTCTACACATGCGTGGATCTGTGCCTGAGCTCTCTGGGTTAATTGATGTCTATCCATGTGGCAATGTAGCACATCATAATACCTGTAACTTTTTATTATGTATTAGGAGCTAGTATTTGAAGTTTCTAATCTTCCCTTCCTTTCCCTTCCCTTCCCTTCCTTTTCTTCCTTTTCCCCTTTCCTCTCTTCCCCTCCCTTTTCCCTTCCCTCCTCTCCCTTCCTCTTCCCCTACCCTTCATTATTTTTCCCATTCTCCTTCCCTTCATTCCTCCTTCTCTCTCCAACCTCCTCCCCACTCCCTAATCCCCTGGCCCTTGCCCTTACTCTTTCCCTTCCCCTTCTTTCCCTTTTCTCCTCCCATTCCTCTCCCTCTTCTCTTCTTTTCTTTTCTTGCTCTCTCTCCCCCACCCCAACCTCAGTCCCTTCCTTCCTTTTAAAAAAATCATTTTGGGCCTTCATTTTTCCATATACATTCTGGAAATAGCGAGTCAACTTTCGTGAAAAACCTTACTGGTCTATTTAATTGGAATTTCTTTGAATTTGAAAACAGTTGACATTTTTGTGGTATTGAGTCTTCCAGCTCATTTAATGATTTTTATGCTTTTCTCTATGGATAGCTTATATGTTTTTTGTTAGACTTCTTCCCAGATATCATGTACTTTTTGTTACTGTTATAATTTTTTTGGTCAGAAATAGATTTCTTACTGTTGCTGGTATATGGAACCACTGTTGATTTTGGTTCATTGATCTTATATCTAACAACCTTGCTCTGAACACTTAATTATAATAATATGTCTATAG